TTAGCATTGCCCAAATAGTTGAATATTATCTATTCAAAGACCATTTATTATAAATGTGGAAAAAACTTTTGCTTATTATGTTAAAAATCCAAAATCTCTTTTTCACTGAAGTTGAATAGGATATAACGGAACATGTAAACTTGTTAGAGAGTTTTACTATAAAGTGCTCAGAAAGATTTGACTATTGTGTGGTTTAAATTTTCATTAAATAAAGAGTGAACAATCCATACATTCTAATATAGGAATTCACAAAGATTTATTTTAAAATATTGTGATTTTTCAGATTTGTGTAAGGGTTGATTTAGCATTTAGCATTTCTTACTTTATGCCTTCGGTCTGAATGAACTTAGGGTGCAGTAAGCAATAACATTTTCTGGATATTTGAAGCTTTAGCCATTTTGTTAGGATTTTCATTTTCTTGGGACTAAATTGCTATATGGAATATACTGGAGTAAACTGATTGGTTCTTTCTTTGCAAAACCATAAAATCCAACTTGAGTTTCCGATACCCATGTGGGTTATGGAAACTGGTCTTAAGTAGAAGAGAAAAATGGAGTCTTTGGGCAAACCTAGAAAATACTGAGGGGGGACAATTTATGTATATGTTAGTTTTGTTTTTTTCATTTTATGCACTTTTTTGTGTAGTCTAGTTTTGTTCTGCTTTTGTATTACTTTTTTTTGGAGTCTGTATTTTAATGTTAAGAATAAAGATAAAATTTATAGAAAAAGAAAAAAGAGATGTTTTGGAACTGATAAAGAGTCACTGTAAATGTGAACATGATCTTGGCTTGCACACTAGTAAATGGCCTTGATATTTTTTTATGAATGACTGTGTATCAAGCTTTATGAATAAGCCCAGGCTGTGGAGCTTTCTATGCTTCTTTTCTTTTTCTTTTTGACTAAAGGATGCAGCAGCGAAAGCAGTGATGAGGTGTCATATAATTTTACCAGTTACATAACTGCTTTTAACTACTAAACTCTCTCTTGATTAAAATAACAATTGAGCCTATAATTTTTCTGAACAGCTGCTGCTACAGGGGGTCATTACCTTGGAGAGCTGGGAAATAATTGTACTGCTAATACATGAGTTATGTATTCTCATGTTTTACAGCAATGCACAAAGTTTAAAGCCTATAGTAGAATGTTATTTGAAAGCTGTCAAACCATGTTAAAAAAGACTGCATCGTCAAAGGCCCTTGTGGCCAGGATTCAACATGTAGCCTTGTCTTACTCATTATAAAATACATGTTTATAAAGTTCCACAGAGCATCCAATTCCCAATTCACTTATATCAGCAAGACTTAACTTGCTCATTAATCTAAATTCTTTTGCAACTTTAATCTACATGTTTAATTAATCATAAAATGAGGCGGTAAGTAATTTCAGCAATGTGTGGCTTGTTATCAGATGCATTTAATCACTCTTCTGTGAGCTCATTTGGAAACACCTGAAGATGTCGAGAGCAGTTTGAATAAGCATAAATTATTCTTTGTCAGTGTACTTCACCCAACTAATAAGACATTAATTTAAAAAAGGTACTGTTCATCATTTTTAGATCTTCACCAATATTTTTAGCTCAGCAGGATAACTGTAATTGTACATATGGCACAATTTACAATATAGTGTCCAACAATATAACAGGAAATATTATACTATTCATTTTTTTCTGTTTACATGTAATTACTTCGTATAATCTTGGGTTGAATGAAGATTAACCATAGTTATCAAATCCTAAACATTTATCTGTTCTTGGAACAAGTTGCTAGTTAATTGAAATAATAAAAGCCAGATAATTTAACAGTTGTATGAATAAATCTTTTGTGTATTTGCTTAGTGAAAAATTATTTATGTTATTTCTTTTTGTGTGTGGGTCCAAATATGTGGCTGAAACAGTGGGATGCATTTCTCAGGTCTTCAGAAGGAAATCTTCCTCTCGACTTTCTGAAAATTTGGAAGGTTGTCTGAAATAGATTCTAAGCACATGGGATTGTGATGGTGGTTGGAAGTCCAGTCATATGTGTAAGATCATTAAAGAGAGATCCAACCTACAGTTAAGGAGAAATTTCCTGACAGTGAGAACAGTTAAGTAGTGGAATAGTATGCTTTCAGAAGTTGTGGGTGAAATTTTTCAAAAAGAAATTGAACAAAAGAAATTGGAATGATATAAGGTCACCTGCTCAAGCAGGGAGTTGAATTAGAAGACCTCCAACCTTGTTGTTCTATGTCAGGGGTAGGCAACCTTGGCTCTTTTATGACTCATGGACTTCAACTCCTAGAATTCCTGAGCCAGTGTGGCTAACTCAGGAATTCTGGGAGTTGAAATCCATGAGTCATAAAAGAGCCAAGGTTGCCTACCCCTGTTCTATACTGTCTCTAAAATCCCTTAAAGATGGCACATTGATCAAACTATTAGAATAATCTCTGGAATAGGACTTCTTCCTCTAAGCAATTTGTAGCTTTCTTTTACCTTATATCTGTACAGATAGAAGACTCTTTGCAATGCCATACAATACTGACTAGCAGAAGAATGTAACCATGATCTGTGGAATGATCAGAATAGAATTCTATTCATATTTCATTTAAAACCTGTCTGACTTTACCTCATCCCCAGCAATTCAAGAAAAACTTGATTTATTCTATTCATTTATTCTAATGAAATCCATAATTGATATTGGACTATTTTAGATTAAATGCTATCTTTTTAATATAGCATATCACTCTGGAAACGGGGAATATCTGACATACCACAATCAATACTATATAACTTCTTCCATAACTTTAATTGTTTGCTGTTTTCCACAGCTACTTAAATAATTTTGGGGACAGAATTTGTGATTTTCTGGAGTTCTTGAACATACCAATTAGCAATCTCTTATATTAACATTTATCCATTCTGATTGTATTCTCATTGTTTGTCAGCCTTCCCAGCTAAACAAGAAACATGACCAGATGAAATGAGCTAATTCTACTTTAATATAAAGCTACATTAACAGAATCTTGCAAGTCTGAAAGTACAAATCTCCCTCCATCTCCTTTATAGCCTGGGAACTTGAGGAAGGGGCTCCTTCTGAGCATCTTTCTCCACCCATTACGCAGCTGTGGGCTGTGCCCTCTTTTATCTGACTGTTCCCTAGGTAGCAGCTATCTATCCCATGGTCATTCTCACGTACCATTACACTGATCTCGTGAAAGGTTTGGAGGTGTGGGTGGGCTATCATTTCCTGGAATTTGCCTTTCTCATGAAGAAGGTTAAAAAAGAAGGTTAAAAAAACTAAGATGTTATGAGCATTCCAAAATAGGATATAAGAGAGAATGAGGGTTATATATACAACAAGGAAGGTGATGATAAAGATGTTGGAATAAGAAAATATTATGGAAATGTTTTAATACATTCTTTCAACTCCGATCCTTATTTGAAATCAGCAAAACTAATTGTAAATTTTATTTATTTAAAATATACACCCACCCTCTCCCATCTTATGGCACTAGTAAGCTTATAAACATATATGTAATAAAGAACTAGTAAATAGAAGCAGCAGAAAAATCTTGGGGAAAAATAACTCTAAAAGATCTGGCTAAAAAGAAATAATTTAAGTCTCCACCTAAACTATAACAAGGAATCAATTCCAAAGACAAAGATTTGATGAACATCAATACCAAATTCTTTCTTTGTTATGGTAAAGCCTAGATGATGAAGGAGGTGCTATTAACATAGATGTTTAGATATTCCAGGTGGGGTAGAATATAAATTCCACAGAGAATCGAAGACCATGGAATAGTCTATATGGGAATAAGCAGTCCAGTAAAAAGTGGGATCAAAACCATCTTGAATTGGGTCTCCCAACAACCCAACAACCTATAACCAGGGCAAGCAGTAATTGGTTTTAAGATAAAGGTGATGTGGTATATCTTGCAAGCACCACTCAACACACACACATGGCTATATTGTGGGATTGTTACAGGTTCTGAATAACGTGCAAAAACTATCCTATGAAGAATGCAATGGAATAATCCAGGGGTCTTCATACTTGGCCCTTTTATGACTTGTGGACTTCAACTCTCAGAATTTCTCAGCCTGCATGCCTGGCTGAGGAATTCTGGGAGTTGAAGTCCACAAGTCATAAAAGGGCCAAGTTTGAAGACCCGTGGAATAATCTAATAAATATTCTCATCCAATTCCAAGTGTGGGGGTCAACCTATTAAACCACATATAGCTTCATCCCCATTACCTTCAGATTAAGTATTTTCATGCTACAATCAGGCCATCCTGAGAAAGAATATTTAAGGGTCCCCATGCCATGAGAAATTGGAGTGGAGACGTCCTCAAAACAGACCCTGGGGATAGTCCCAACTTATGCAACAGATTAACCTATGAAATACTTTTGAGTCCCACCTGACTGGCTTTGCAGAAAAAGTTAAATTGAACATTTGTTGGGCTGCCTTTCTGGTTTGGGGAACTGTTATATATATTGGTTGTAGTTTTATTTTTGATATGATGGCTTCGTTTGAGGACAGGCTTTTTAAATGTTACAATGTTATTTTTGTTCAAAGGTCAGATCTGTACACAGTACAAGTGGCCCTGGAGTTATTCATATGGATTAGAAACATTTGAGTGGAGTATAATTAAAATGTGAACATTACTGCTTTTAATTACATAATCTGCATGGATCTGACCTTTCTTGGATTAGCCTGTATACCTGTAAATGATTTCAGAGTAGAATTAATATTGAAAGTGCTGCTCAGATTTTTGTTAGAGGTAGGCAAAATTCCATATTATTTTCATGTAATCTCTAGCTGTGAAGTTCATAAACCTATTGCAGCCTGCTACAATGTGGTATTTTCCAGCTGTGCTGCACTTCAGTTTTCATCATCCTCAAAACTGTATAGTCAAAACAGAATATTGTATCTTTTAAAAATAAGTAAAACTCTTCAATAGTTTGCTGGAAGCTGCTAAAAAGTGATGTGCCCTTAACATACTTTTCCCCCTTTGTTTCCTATAGGCCTGTTAGCTGCCGTCTTGCTATTTTCATTTCTGATGACAACTATCACGGAACACTGCTAGAGCACAGAGTCAGCCTGTGACGGGGCCAGGTAACTTCTACATACTTAACTAAAAATTTTTTTCTTCCCTGCTGTATCTCCCTTTAGTGTCTTTTCATCTCAAGCTTTTTCTCTGGATGTGATGTTCAGGCAATACAAAATAACTGCAAATTTGTAAGTTTCATTAACAACATACATTTATGAAGTTGAAAATATCATTGTTTGGGCTGTGTGCAACTAAGTTCTATTTTATTACAACAGATTTTTGAGTAGATGATTCCCTGTGGTTTGAAAAGACTGTGTGATTGCAGAAATTAAAATTGACATTATAATTTATTATGAAGTTATACAGGACATCGTACAGGTGTACTATAAGTTTACTTAAACTCTGATTCACAGCAGATGATTACATATAACAATACTGACTTCGGTATGAAAACATATTTGGATAACTAACGGTGACAATAGCATTTTCTAACAGCTAGTACATTTTTACTCCAGCTGAGTTAGTATACTCTGGAAGCAGAAATATAATATTTCAAATTTATAAGGCTACATTACTTTGACAGGTGAGAAGATGGCTAGAATTTTACACTGGACTTCCAAGTAACAGTTTCTAAAATTCCATTTGAATCTAATTCTCCCTTGTTATTTCTTATTAGCTGGGATTGTAACTGAACGTTTTCCAGTCATTATTGAATAATCACAGCCACTTCCAAAAACTGAGATTGAAATTTAGGATTACAAAAGCTGACATAAGAGTAGCTTTTGTTTGCCATTTTTTTTACCCAGGAGCGTTACCCATTAAAACCTGCTTTAACACATATTCTGCTCCTCCTACCCTTCTCAGTATATACCACCTTGTAATGTCAGTTCATAAACCCTGAAAGAGGACTTTTCTGAATCATACAGCTGAACCACACCATATTTAAATTCATCCTGCTGGCCCATCAAAAGAATGTAGGTGAATTCCACCAGAAATTGTAAAGCATTTCCATTTATCAGCATTAATAATTTTTTTTTTGAAGAGAATTAACTTTAAGCTCCATGGTTGGATGCAAACTGGTCTCTACACATGGAAAAGGTCTGTTTCTGTTTGTGGAGAGAACTGAGGCTGAGCAGAAATTTATCACTGTATTGGAGGAATGAAAGGGAACTGTGATTTTCCTAAATTTTACCTTCCCCCTTATGGTCCTACCAATATTTCCTCCATTTCAGAGGGGGTTCTATACTCCAGTCCCATCTGTTTTAGGAATCTCAGAAAACTACATAAGGAAAGGAGGATCAACAAAAAAAGCCCTGTCCTTCTTTTATAAACAGAATTCTGCTAACTCTAAATTTGAATCCATTTATAGTTTTCAAAAGGAAATCAGTTTTTAAAAAATTGTTTTAAGAATAACTGAACTCTGTCGGGTATTTGCCATTATCTATATGCTCTTGATACCTTATTGTTTAGGAATAATTCTTTTTCATCCAAATTCCACCCGTCAAAATGCTACTAAAGTTTTATTTAGAAAATTCAGTCTGAATTTATTTACAAGATGGGAATCCATTTATACATATATAAAATTCTGACTAAGTAGAAAGAAAATATTTATTCAGAATTTGGAGGTTAAGCAAAAACTTTTTTCTTTATATATGAAGCTGTTTTCAGAATGAGCTTATATTTCTGTAGTGAGTATAGAGCACGGGTGGCTCAGGAATTCTGGGAGTTGAAGTCCACGAGTCAAAAAAGAGCCAAGGTTGCCTACCCCTGGCATAGAGGATATGGAATTCTGGGAGTTGAAGTCCATATATCTTAAAGTTGCTGAGATTGAGAGACATTGGTATAACGGTTTCCTAGTCTGATCTACCTTATAGGGTTGATAGTTTTTTATCTAATATGAAATGAAAATATACCATTAGTTGATTTTTTTTGCTTGAAGACTAAAACTGATTAAATGTTAATGTCTTCTTTATATGATGTTAATCATTTTTATCACTTTAGTAATCTCAGAAGCTTTAATCATAGATACCATGTTTCTGTATTTAGACAGAATCTTAGTGATAGGCAATTTTTTTTGTATTTGCTCCAGCATTATATTTTTTTTATTTTTAAATGAAAGTGGAAATCATGATTGAAGCAATCTAGTCCTTTTTCAAGTAATAAGTATAAAATAATTTTTAAAAGTAATGGTAAAAGTTAATGTTTTGGTAATTGTCTGGAACAATCAATATTTCTCAAAGAAAACATCCCATTTGTAATAACTTTGGGGAATGAATTAGAAGATTGCAACAGATTTTTAAAGATTTTTTAAAAAATGTACTGTAATATTTGAAATGTATGGATGTTTTTAATAAATGTATGTTCAATAGATAGCATACCAAATATTCTAATAAATAGCAATGGCTAATTGATTCAAACACCACATTATAATCCAATTAATAAACATATTTAGCTAAAGCACATTCAATAAATATACACTCCACTTGTTGAAAGCTTTTTGTGTAGCTAATGAAAAACTAATTGCGAATTCAATTTATCAGATTGAATATCTAATATCTGTCACAAGGTTATTTTTGTTAAAAAATTGGATGAGGGAATGCTATGTATGTCATTTTGAACTCCTCAAGGAAAAGGGGTTAAAAAATTAATAAAACAGACAAATAGACAAATAATCAGATATTATCTGATGCTTGGTATCCTTTTATAAAATCAGATTGCACAGGTTGAATTATTGAGGACAATATATTTTCATGCCAGGGTCACAATTAAAATTATAGCTTTTATGTTTCACAATGAGAACAAAGAATAACATGCACAATCAGCAGGATCTTTAATTACTTTCATCATAACAAAAGCACAATTGAAAGAAAAAGTAATCAATTATTAAAAAAAAATATTGTATATCTCCAAAAGCATAGGAGCAAAGGAAGGATGCCGTCTTCAAATTTGATGAAACTGGATTAGGAACCTTACAAGTTGTTCCTGACCTAACACTATCAATGAATTTTTATAGAGATAATGTGCAATTGAATAAGTAGCTTGGCCATTAGTTTGTTCAAAAATATAATTTGTTCAAATAAAATGTTTGAATCTTGTCTGTAGAGGCAGTGTCAAATTTTAAAAAATTCTGGTTTATCAGATTTGAGTAATATATTTTACCCTGAGAATTTCTTGTACTATTATTGATACTTTCAGCCTAGAAGCTAATATACTGTCTTGTTTTCCATGGGCTGCCACTAATCCTATTAATTCAATTCTATGTATTTCTAGAAAATTGTAAAAGCTTCTGGTTGCATCAAGAAACCTTCTTTCTGTGTAATTATACTTTTTTTAAAATTGCTTTTCAGTGATGTTGGATCACAGGATGATGTAATAAATTCATTGAGGAGATTAGGCCCATTTTTGGCCTGATGTTCTCTGTCTCATTTTTTAAATGCTGATTTAAACTTCTAGAAGTCTTATAATGTACATCCTTTTAACTGGAAATTTTATAGGAATCATATAATACCTAGCAGCTGAACTGGTCATAACAATGAACCTCAGTGCTATAGCCAGCCAACTTTGTGGTAGAACTTGTCCATATGATTTAGAAACAGGAGTGGACAACAGTTTTCATTGGGATGGGTGGGTGTCATACCTTTAAAATTATTATTTTAGCTTCCAGGAACCACAGAGGGTTATTCAATGATGTAGTGATATTATTGGGTGGACAGAGTTGATGGAGTTTCTTAATACATAGATGTTGACTATTATTTTAATTAAAAACAAAATGATCTGCAGATGTTTTGGGGCCTGCATGTGGTTACTGGTTGTCCATTTTTGGTTCTGAATCTTGATTTTCCAGGATTACAAAATTTCAGGAAAAGTTTCATGGACAGAGAAGGCTTCCTGCCGCAGAAGTGTTGTATTCTGCATTTGGAGAACAATGGGGATAATAACAGGGCATTTGGTGGGGGTGGAACTAATGTTCTCATTGCTAATCTTTCTTCTCAGGAGCACAGAGTATAACTTGTTTAGAATGGCCGCCTTCAGTAATAAGAAGAGAGTTTAAGAAATCAGAAGATAAGGAGATTGTGGGCCAAATGACATGTTATGCTTAATGAATAGCATTTAGTTCTATTTTAAGTATTGTTATTAGTTACAGATGTATGGACATTCCTTTACTGATAAAGCACTGTATTGAGATAGAAGATTTATCTCTTTTATCCTCATTGCAAGTGGAGCTAAAATGCCCTTCCACAAATAGTAGAAAATGGAAAAAAAGAGTTCCTGCTGGCATCAATGAATATTTTTTTTCTTAAGAAACCTAGCCATGTGAGGGATACAGTTCCAATCAGATTATACAGTATAGAAGGAAAGTTTATGTTTTCCTCTCCCTTTCATACTGTATTTCCAAAAAAGATTGCCATCATTTGCATATAATTTAACTGCATGCTCTGTATATTGTGTATTTTGGCTCATGAAATAAATCCATGACTGGAAAAGAAGTGATGCGGCCAGGGTTCACACATTATATTAAGCAATAACCAAATAAACCATATTGTAATATGAAATGTAATCTTAGCCACAGGATATAAGGATGTCATACTGAGGCAGGGAATAACAGGCAAAAGGAGGGAGAAGATAAACTGTTCCATATTTTGTCATAGTAATCCTGGTTTGGGAAAGAGAGAATTAATTTTGAGATATTGATAACTAGTATGAGCTTTCAAAAAACTTTTTGAATGATGATAGACATGTGGTAGACATATCTCCTTCTTTTTCATCTACTAGAACACCTTTATCCCCTTTTATTCAGGTTTGAGATTAACAATAGTGACGTATTATACAACAGCATAGGTTTCCCATTCCTGAAATTGTTCCTTTTCAAAAAAATTACCATAAGGCTCTTGGTTCAGGTTGGTTAGATTCCTGAACTAGAATATCTTCTTAGGGACCGCAGATGTATTATTGCATGGCGCATTATAGACCTTCAAAATTATGGCTTCAACTTCTGAAATGAATTTTGTAGGAAATAGCAAAAGTTACTATCGTTGGTTTGGAATCTGGTTCAGAAAGTTTAGGA